CGTCCCACCCCCGAGTTATACCGCAAGGGGATTGAACAACTAGAGACACGGTGGCAGAAGGTGCTGGATGCCGAAGGGGATTACTTTGAGGGCTAACAATAAGCTACGCTGATTGTATGTCATGTTATTTTGAATCATTAAAACGGCAAGAACTTTTTTGTTTACCTTGTAATTATCGATGTTTTGTTGTTAAAATTTCTCCACTCTGATGTATTAAAATATGAATATATCCACTTCTGAGTTAAATATTTCAAGCATCCTAGTCCAGACTTTTCAAAGAAGTGTTAACTATATACAGGTAAAATATTGAAGAATTTTCCATGAAATGAGAACATTTTGAAAAAGTTAATTCTAAGTTTATTTTTTGCCAAAATATTTCATTTAAGTAACTTTTTGTTGTAATAATATTTTCAAAACAATTTCATACACGTATTCTAATCTATATATAAGTGACACTAAATATTTAAAAAATATTCGTTTTCACGCTTTTTTGTGAAATCGGGTTCCGAACTTAGTCGGATACCTTAAATTATCCTTTCTTGGATAGATGGATCTAAAAAAACAACATTTGATTGGGTTTGTAATCCATTTGTGATAACAGATATATCTGTATATGAATTAACTTAGAATGAAAGAAAATGTTTTTTTTTCGCGCTTTGTAATAATCGAGATTTAATTTCAAAACGTTTGGAAGAGTCAATTTATTTTGGATTAAAATTAGAGGCATTTATTCCAAAATAGCCAATAAAGCTTTAAAAATATTGTTACAAATTTTTTACATCTTATGTGCGTGAATTCATATTTTCAGCATTAAGAAACATAAAAATGAAAAAAAAATCAAGACTTTAAAATGTAGATGACGAAATGAGAGTGACATCATGATTTTTAGGACCCAATATAAAATAAATTATCAAAAATCCTGAAGCTCAACTATCGCATTAAATGTACTTTTATAATTTTTTTGTAATTTATTATTCAATATACGTGTTGTTGTATTTGTCACACATATTATTTTATTTAACACTGAAAATTATTATCACAAACTATTTTACATAGTGTACTTCAAAAAAAGTAAAATTCTTTTAAACTTATTTTATTTTTAGTGTGCCGCGAAATTTTGAAATTTTTATAAGTATTCTGCAACGAAAAAAGGATTGGGAATCCCTACTCTACGTTATCGATTATAGAGAACAGTTTTTTGAAAGCCCATTGCAATACATAATTTTACTTCCTAAATGTACTTATGTTATTAAAATTTCCCGTAAGTTATAAATAAACCTTCATACTATATGCATTGTCGAATTCATTTTACTTAGTTTTCACGTATTTACAAGCGAAATACTAAAATTTCGATAAGCAACTCAACTTTTGAAGCAGCTGAATTTTTAAAAAGATAAGAATATTTGATGAAGTTATATTGGTTACAGATATATACATGTTTCTGATTTATATTCCAAAACTGATGTGATAAAAATTGCATATAAAGCACTAAACATAAATTATTTATACTTTATTAGATTTCATTTATGATTTTTCCTGGATGTATTTTAAATCACGTACTATGGGAATTGCTGCAGCGTGTAATATTTTGGAAACTAGTCCGGGAAGATTTGAAAGTAATCATGAATATGTAAATAATATTCAGTAAAAGCATTATTTGTTACAGTTTATGAAGGCTTTCTTTTCATTAAATTTTCAAAACATGCATCTGGAATTTCTTTGGATTAATTTGGATTTCTTAAAATATTCGTATTTCAAACTAAATGGAAATTCAAAGCAACACAAAATAAAATGTAAAACAAATACTTGGAGAAATTATTGTATTTTCCTAAATTAACACCCCGAAACAGTTGATTGAGTAAACAAATACGGAAATGTTTCTCTGCGATAAAATTTTGATAAATAAAAAAGATCATACAAAAAAGGAAGTAGAATGAGAAAAATATAGTTCAAATAAATATATATATATATATATATATATATATATATATATATATATATATATATATATATATATATTGTTTAAAATAATTTTACGCAAGCGTAGATATACAATAATGTTTGAATAATTTTTGATCTTATAATTACTAGCTTAAGTAATCATTCAAAAAATAATAAATAAATAAATATAAGAAGAAATTTTTGAAAAATCTAATTTGTTTTACAATTTTTTTAAAATTATTCGTTAAAATTTTTTAAAACTAAAAAGTTGTGGTTATAAGTAGTCAAATAACAAATTAATTACTTGTGATTCGCTTCCTTTCATTTAGAATCTCATTATATACTTGTGAGTAAGTGAATATTAAAGCCACACTATTTAGCTAATCGAGGGCTTTTGGCGACTGACTTTGTCATTTTGAACCATGGTCAAGTGACGAGGACGACACCCGAGCTGGCCCCTCCCTCTCCCAACAACCCCACCACATCAATGGGAGGACTTTTGAGCCTCGAAAGATGGTCGATGGTCTTCAGTGGTACCAGGCTCGAACTCACCACACGCTGGTCACGAGTCCGTTACCTTGACCACTAGGCTACTACGGCCACTCCACAGTTTGAGAAACGCTGTACTAGAAAGAAGCTAATGATATTATTGTTTCATACTGGGATACATACGAAGGATCACAATGAACAGAAACATACAGTACAAACTCAGAATATGGACTTTTATTATGGACTTAGAATAGAACAGAGGGGTTGCGCTGCTTTCCATTCAAGACGGGAATCCATTTCAGGCGAAAGTCCGGCTTCTTTTCTCGAAGATATATCCATGCCTTATTCCGGATTCGAACCCGAGCCTACTGGATTACAAGCCGAGTGTCATAAACACCATACTAGGTGGGGCGGCAAGCTAATGATAAGAGTTTAGATTAATTATTAATTAACATTGCCTTTAGAGGTAATACAAGGGGACCACGGTAAGTGAATGGTTAGGGTCGAGAACTCGCAGCCAGCGTTGTTGAGTTTTAGCTTTGAATCCAGGTGCCATTGAAGACCGGCCATGTAGAAATGCGTGTTAACTCTGTCGTGTCTCGTGTCTTGCGCTAAGTGGAAGTTTGGAAAGGAGTTGACAAGATCAGAGTCGTCCTCGTTACTTGATCAATACTAAAAATTAGGAAGTCTGTCACCAGCAGTCCTCAAAGGAAATTGGGGGAAATTCATTAAATAATAATTAAATAGCAGCGCTTCTCAAACTTTCAATATTTGCGACCCAATATTCAATCATAATTTTCGTCGTCCGCAAAAGATACAATACGACTTTATCGTCTTAAGAGCCACCGGCGTATATATACGTTTCGCTCAACCGGGATGTTAAATTTCCTGAACGTATATATGCGTCTTTCCTAAATACGATCTTTTCTGTGCACTGCTATCCATAAAGTTATTCAGATGGCTTTAGAATTTGGAATGCAATAAGAGGACCTTGACAGAGTGATTGCGAAGGATTCACTCTTATATATCAGAGGATTTCTTATTTATTCATTTTCTCCCCCACCCTCTTCCCAAAATATCATATTCGCGGTCCTACGTTAAAACAGAGACATTAGGGAGTGAATCGCGTAACTTTTATAATCAGCAGTTATTTATAAACCGTACAAATTACTCTAAGATGTGTAAACTTTTGTTTATAATTTTATATATGACAAGCCCATGAGAGAGAGAGAGAGGTCACTGGTAGTTATTAAACTTGTTCTTAATTTGGTATTGTTGAATTAATTTTAAAATACTCTGTAGTTCTGAGATACATTTATAAGTGTATTATATCAGTGTAAATGTTAATTTTATTTTTTATTATGTCAGAATGCATTTTGTTTGCTTACTCTTAGCTAACTAATAATATTTTTAAATAAACTTTTGTTTTTAACTTTTCAATTTGCTCGCAGCCCCCTCGTAGAATAATTACGCCCTCTAGGGGTTGGGAGGCACGCCCCACAGTCTGAGAATCGCTGGCATAACATTTGCTTTCTTGAACTTTTTCTTGACCTACACTATTACGTTAAAGATAGACAGTCACTCACTTCGGCCGTCATCGTGCACGTTTGTATGACCATCTCTAAATACTATAACGGATTTTCATACTCCATTCTAGTTGTCATAATGCTTCCTCCTGTCTTCACTAATGTCCTTAGGATTTCCAGACTCTGACACTTCCGTCGCATTTAAGAAACGAATGGAAGCGTATCTTTTACAATCGATGGGATTTTCAATCGATTGAAGCATTTTAAATATGTATACATTAAATTCACTGTGATCGAATTATTTTATAATAGCATCTGAGGCTGGACAGCAGTGATGGCACTTTATGCGCATGTGCAGAAAGACATGCGCAACAGCCATATTTCAAAACCGCGCGTAACTACTTTAAAAATCTGCCTTCTACCTTGGAATATTTTTAATATAACTGACAAACTATAATATAAGAAAATTATTACGCAATGTTACCATTAATGACGATGCATCATTATCAAAATACTCCCATGTGCCTTATCTTGCAAACATATGAGGAATAAAGAAAATAGATGGAAAGGTAAACGAAAATAATTTAAAAATAATTCAACTGTTAATGTGTGTAAGAATGCAGCAAAATTTTGATTATTGAATGAGCGATGGAAGTTTATAATTTTATTATTTCAAGACTTTCATGATATATAGTTTTCTAAGCGTTACTGTGGCCATGACAACGGCGTACTACAAAAAAAGCAAGTAATATACAAAAAAAATTCTTTAAGTCAACTCCTACTTAGGTCAACAAAGATAAATTTTATTTTAGTTACTTTTTTAAATAGTTACAATTAATATAAATATGTCTATACGTATGGCAGAATCACACTATTACGAGATAAAATAGAAAGCGATTTTCCTTGCAATAATTTCCCATTTTCCTTTCTATATAAGGTGTTAAAATATTTTTGTTTGTTTATTACTATTTATTCATTAATTAAATTTAATTATTCTAATAAAATGATTCAGTAACAAATAAATCAGATTCTCAGAAATTAGGCAATCCCAGGAGGGAATTGAACCCACAAACTTTCGATTAGAAGTTCAACGCGCTATCCATTGCGCTACTGGGACACAATGAGCGATAGGACATTTTCCCCCATCACACTAGATTATTTATCTTTTATCCTTAGGAATAGAAATGGATATTTTAAAAGCACTTAAAATAACTTTTTTAATATCTTGATCTTGATATACAGGGTAGGCTATATAAGTCCTACCGATGTTAAACACAAATAACTTTTTTTTTTATTTTTTGTACAATTATGTTTTTCTTTTTACAGGTTAAAATTGAATTATTGGAAATTTATTATGGAGAAATACAGTACAAAACAACACGCTAAAATTATCGTGTTTTTCTATTCATGTCAATGATCAAATGTTATGACACCGCGTAAATATCAGCAACATTTTAATTCAAGATCAGCTCCCACAGCCTTCATGATCAGGAGTATGGTCGTCGTTTTGAGGAACTGGGTTCAGTGACCGACCGTCCTGGAAGAGGTGCCCATCGAAATATTCGCGCTGAAGACAAAGTGGATACTGTTTGGCAGACTTCTTCTAGAATGAGGATCGAACGCCGGAAACGATTTCCGGAGCTTCTTACAGAACAATGATTGAAAACTTTTTTCAATAAGTTGGAGCAACTGCGCACACTGCTAGGACCTGCTGCGTGAAATTTTTGGCTAACGTCTGACTTCAAAAAATTCAGATTTCCCTTGGCCACCTCGTTCGTCAGATTTAACTGCGTCCGATTTTTTTATGAGAATATTAAAAATACAAAGTGTGTGTTAATTTAAATCAGAGATTATTAGACAGCTGAAGCAGAATATTCAAAACGAAATACTGAGCCTTCAAACCGAAGCACTTCGTGGTGTAATGGAAAACGCGTTAAAAAGAGCCAATTTCTATATCGAGAAAGATAGTGGATGTATGGCTGATGTCATATATATATTTCATACATAATTTCCATAAAATATATTTAATATATATAAAAATAATAATAAAATAATTATTACGAGAGTTATCCGTGTTTAACATTAATAAGTCTTATTTGACCCACCTTGTATAAGGGAAAATCCTTTTACTCGCTTTAAGATATAGTGAGATAAGAGAAACGTGTTAACGAAATTTCATATTATTCTGTATAAATTGAATTTATAAGCCTTTCCAAAAGCTTATATGTGCATAGTACATAAATAACTGCATAGTGCATAAACATTCATGGCTAAAGCATCATTACTTGTATTTTTCAATTTCATTTACAAAAAACGAAAACAAACAAACAAAACCCAGAATCTATTAATCGTTGCAATCATACGAAAGGTCCATTGTATGCTATTATTAATAATCTACCTTTCAAATCTCATTTAATAATCATTATAACACAAAATTAAGAATCATAAAAATAGTTTTGTGAAAAACAAAACTAGTCAATATATACAGTACATTCATAAATTTACAAGCTTAAAAAGTACACATTAAAAAAATTCTTAATATTTTTCCTTAATTCAACTGATTTAATGATTTAAGTATTTCAGAACAATCACTAAGTTGAAATAATTAATTACATTTTAAATTATACACAGAGATTAATCAAACAGAAGCTTGCTTTTGCAATTTATATCGTCTGTGATTTGTTTCTCCATATCAATAAAAAAAAGAAAAAAAAGATCGACTTTATTCCTCCACGCAAGTGTCGCAACAAAAACAGAATTAAAATAAATAACTAAATAATTAAAAAAAAATACTTTTTTATAATTATCCGATTTTTTTAAATGTATGTAGACGGAATTTTTTCGGCTTATTATAAAAATCGTTTTTATTTTTTATGTAAAAAAAATCTTGCTGAAACTCAGATAATTCCAATTACTTTTAGGAATCAAAATAAATATTTCATTACACGAAAAGGTAAAACTGGATATCAGAAAGAAGGAATAATTAGTCAAAACAAATAATTATCTTTGTCATAAAATAAAATATGTTCAAAATTGTTTGTGTAGGAATTACAGATTTTAATTCCATAAGACTCGCGAATTCCGAAATCATTAAAGGAATAAGAAATTTCTTGTTGAATATATATTTATATTGTACTTTTATATTCATATTATAATTGAAGAGAAAAAATTGTTTCCTTTTGTTAATTTCACAACACGTATTTTCTTAAGTCTTTGAAAATGAAAATAATTAATCCAAGTAAGGTTAGAAATTTCCTACAAAAATGAAAGAAAGAAATAATGCGATACTTAATATTCCTAAAAATACCGTATATTTTCCGGCGTATAATGTGCTTTTTTAAAAGAAAAAATTAGGTAGAAATTTACGGGTGCGCGTTATACGCCGTATATAAAAACGATAGCTTTAAAAGTAAAGAGAATATGTGACCATTAAAAAAATTAGTTTTCTACATACATTTAAACTCTATTCATTAAAAAAATGGCATACCCAATGAATTTTAATTGTAGGATAATATGAAGAATTCGTCATATTCGTTGTGACGAATCTGTACGGAACCTTTCCACTAATCTTCTTAGGCGTCTTTTTGGGGAATATAAATTCGCGTTTCTTTCCGATCAACTCCAAAAAGATTAACGGGATATTTAAATTAGATAAGGTATTTAAGTCGAGCGTTGTGAGATAGCAAGAGAGTTGATGGAAGGCTATTGGGCCAGCAACTTTAAACTTATTTTTAGAAGATTCAAGGAGATTAGATTCGTCAAGACGTCATGCTGCTAGACGTACCAGAAAGCTGATATAAGCCAGCGGTAAATATAATTTACGTACGCTTAAAATAAGCGTCAGTTTAAGCAACTTAGTTAAAGTTAATGAAAGTTAAGAATTCGAGTACGTGTATTTCTCGGATCTCCTATTTCGGTAAACCTTACTTGAGCTTGAGCTTAACTATTAATTAATTGCATTCTTAGTAATTTAATTTAATGTAAAGGCAAATCCCTATAAGTGACGTAACATAATATTATTATATGTTATCAGAGATTTTTTTGAGAAAATTATAATAAAATAAATAAATATTATTATTATTCAAAATGGCTCTTAGTGATTCTTTGCCTCAAATTAATCTTGGTGTTCAAGATTGGACCCAGGGGGTCTCCACATCGTCTTTTGTTAAATTTGCAAGCTTATCCTTGTATTCTGTTTCTTCATCGCCATCACTGTGAGGTTGTTAAATATACTGTATTTTTAAATGACTTTTAATTATGTTAGGTTTAATTCCCCCCACCACACACATTCAAGGCTTTTATCATCCATTCATATACTATTTCTATACTAGCATAACGCCTTTGGCCTCCTTTTGTAAATGTTTTTTTCAACTTCTAACATCCACATATTCTTCACATCATTTCTTTTATTGCTCTTTCGTGTTGTAGTTCTAGTAGTATACCTTTGTTCAAAAGCCTGGTGTAATACTTCAAACAAATTATTTCAAAATATAATAGCATTTTACATGTGCATTTCAGGTTTCTTCTTGAAAAAAGGCATGCGCTATGCGACGAATTTACTAAACATCTAAGAAGTGCAAATTGAAAGTATGGGTACGTGTTAGATGCTGGAATATACGGTATATTCAGCGTTTATTGAATTTCTTTTCTTACATAAAAATAGCATTAGATTAAATACATCTTCATAATTTTATAACTACATCCTATTTTGGTGTCCATCTCGGTGACAAAAATTACATGGTGCCAGAAGGGGGAAAAATTCGACAAAGTTACACCCATATTTTCTGTAGCCATATTGACTAAACAGTATAAAATTTAGTTACTTCTTTTTGCACGGGAAATACAATGCAAATTGTGTGAATTCAGTTTTTAAATTTTTTTTAACATTTTAGAATTTTCTTCTAAAAGAGGATAAATATGTATATATACTGCTTTAAAACCATTTCATTCTCTTTCCCCCTTTTACTTTAAATTCAAATTATCACCAAAAAGGAAGAAAATCTGTAATATTTGTAATAAATTTCAAAGGGGTAAAACGATAAATTAAAATTCTATTTTGTTCCTCTTTAACACTAGAGCCATGGGAGTTTCGGTATACCAAAAACCGCGGGCGGGGTCAAATTGACCCCAATTAATAAAAACCCGTGTTTGTTATGTTTAAAGTACGCTGTAATTATTTGGCAATGACATTTATTCACTTTTAAGATTACATTGTTGTAATAAGTGATAAAAATAATAAGATATTGTAATATGGAATATTGTATGCACAGTTAAAGCGGTTTTCGGCTAATGTTAAAGAATAGAACCTAAATTCGGAATACTTTTCAGATATAAAAATACTCAAATATTAATATTATATTCTGGCTTCCCTATCCTCTAGAGAGAGAATCACTTATTTTATCATTCTTCTTATTTTTATAGGAGTTGACATATTTTGTCTTTTATAAAATGTACTAGCCGTTACCCACCCGCTTCACTGGGTATTTCACGATGTTGTATATATGTATACTGTTTACATATAGATTAATTATTGATATCTAGCATTAAGAGTTCGATTGTATTGAAAAATATATTTATAGCTGTTACACTCTCGCCCCTTGATATAAAAAGAACATAAATTATAATATCTAATTTCTATTTATATCTGAAATAGAAGTTGAAAGATTTTTTCGCTCACTTAACCTAATAATCAAGTGGATTTCCACCAAAACAACTTTCAGTGGATCTCTACTCCATAAAATAAATATGCGTGCTATTTCAAGTCTAAATCTAACAGAGCAAAAAAGGAATTTTTATCATCAATACCTTGTTGACAGCATTCTTAGCGGATTCCAATTCAACAAAAGAAGCATGCAAACCAAATTTTATTACTATAGTCTTAGCAGTTCACAAAAACGGGAATTTTGTCTATCAATACGCCCCAATAACTCTCCCCGCTTCCCCCTGGAGCTGATTTCCGTAAAATCCATTCTTAGTGGAACTCTATTCAACTATAAAGAAAAGTGATGAACAAATTTCAAGTAAATGAGTTAAATTCAAAAACAGGAATTTTTCTATAACACGCATTATTCCCTCGCAACCCCGCTCCTTTGGGGGTCCGTTTTCGCATAAATTTTT